CATCAAACCCAATGGACTGACTGATGACAAATGTCGAGAAGGGGTACAAAAGAATCATGTGATGTTTGCTAATTTACGTCATTCCTAACGTAGACGAAAACTCCAGCTATCGAACAAAGGATATGTGTACTGCACAGAAGTTTGCTCAATCCTTCTTTATGGCTTTGACATATCCACTTAAAGCAGGAGATACGAAAAGACTAGTTGCTCTTGACTTCAAACATTTGCGTTCTATCTCTAGTGCTAAGTGGTATCATACCGTCAGTAATAGTTAGGTTAGACGAAGGGCGCTATGCACAGAAGCGAAGTTAGTCGACGAAGTTGTGTAGCTACATCGACTGAAACGACTAGCAAACGTGCTGCGCATGCCGAGCCATCTCCTTCATCAACGAGTAATGTAGGCTGACATAGGATCAGGTTGGAAAAGGGTTAGAGGCTGTCAAACCCAAACCTGATATCACTCCATAAAATCTTTGACATTTGGTTTGAGCCACGTAGGGAGGTGTAGACTGCCTGGTTGGGGTCCTCGACACTAAGCACCAATAACTGGAGACTGTTGGTGATGTCATTCGAAATCGTTCTCAATGGCGCAAATACATTCACTGCTTGTGAACTGGCATATCCATTAAACGTATCAGTTTTCGCACGTTACAATTCTTTCTCCTATACATTTCTGCTTATTATAGCTCTTTTGGAACTTTTTATCTCTCTTGTGTCTACCTTTGTATGCTATATGGAGTGTGGCAAGTCGAACTTGTGAACTTTTGTGCTAAGTTGTGTGTTGCAACTCAGTCAGTCAACGCTGTTGCTATTAGTGTTATTATTACTACTAACATCATTGTTATCATGCTAGTAGCCATGATGAACACTTCTTTTATACAGCAGTCATTTGATTATGTGCTGGACAGTAACGATTATGTATAGGTGAGATATCATCGACGTTATTTGAGCGTCATTTTATTTGTGGCTTGAAATGAATTATAAAAGAAGTATTTTTCATAAAATTATAACTAATTAAGCTTTTCCCTAATCCGGGTTAACATAGATGTCTTAAATAAGAGAACAAACACATGAAATTTAGAAACAGAAGTATAGAGAAAATCAACACGTACAGTTCAAATGCTGAACTGTAACACCAATAATCCAATGACTTACAAAAGAAACTGTGTGCAAACACTGTAGCACTCGAGTACTGAACAGAAAAGAATAGAAATATCTACTAACTGTCTTCAAAAAGCATTAAGAGCCATCGGATTTCATCAAAACGTGTTTATACTCAAGTCACAAAACCAACAAAAAACCATCATCAAAGACCACAAGAAAGTTCGCTCTGTCATATATAAGAAACATCTCTGAAATAACGGCTAGAATACTAAGACCGTTTGAAATAAACATGGCACACAAGCCGACACAATCACTGTATTCGATATTATGCAAACCTAAAGATACAACAGGAAAAGAAGATAAGGTCGACACCACTTACAAAATAAACTGTATGAACTGCAATAAACATTACGTCAGTCAAAGTGGGCGTCCCATTCGTGTCCGAATCCAGGAACGTAAATTAGCTGTGAAAAGGCACGATATGTATTCCTTCGTATCGATGCATGTAGATAACTACGGACACCAATTTGATTGGTATAATGTAGAAATCTTGAAGAAACGAAACACCAAGAATGCCAGGGAATTTCTAGAAGCCTGGTTTTCAGATGAATCAGTAATTAACAAAGACATTACTATCGCTCAGATTTGCCAACTAATAGAAAATAAATCACATGACAAGAAATTTCAAATTTCAACTCAATAAAAATGATCAATAAAGATGTATATTTAAAAAGCGTTAGTCCGGTAGAAACCTAGATAAAATTAAATACCTAAGTTGAGTGACGTAATATGATTGACAAGACTGAGTAAAATTCAACCAAAACTGATCGGTCGGTCGGTCGGTTTTCGACATAGAACTTTGCACATATGTGCGGCAGTTCAAGTCGCCACACTCCCTCCATGTAGCACACAAAGGAAGAGAAGAAAGAAGAAGAAATGCATAATATAGACAGTAAACAGTGGTGTGAGACAAGGGAATAGTAATAACGAAGAACAAAACAGTTTAATTGGAAATCATAAGTCACAAGGAGTGGATGCATCTGCGCCACTGAGAACGATTTTGAGCCATGTCACCAATTGTTTCCAACCATTGGTTTTTACCGTCCCGAGGACCCCAACCAGCAAGTCTACATCTTCCTACGTGGCTTAAGCTAACTGTTGTGGATTTCATTGACTGGTGCCATGAACTAAAACTGAACGAGAGTTAAGTTAACAAGTGGCAATAAGGGGTAGAAATTTAACAGGGGGTTAAGGTAGGAAACAATACAATTAAAAAAGGAATCGAAACCACTTATCCGGTGTTGATTTCTACTCAATCCCATCATTCATATCACGTCACTCGATTTACTATATTTCAAATTAATTTTAATTTCTTCCAGATTAACACTTTTATATTACGTATTTTATTAACTAAAATTTAAAGTTCATCATGAATAAATCGGACGATCAAAATAAAGTGAATGAAATCCTCAAAGCCCAGTCCAAATTTCTAGTAGATAATACTACTGATAATGTGCTACTTGCGGGAAAGCAGATCAATCGTCAGCTTCACATTTAACTGACGCATGGTTTTATAAATGAAAAACTTTATAAACTTAAAGTTATTGGATCACATACTTCCCGGATGTATGACCTTCCAAAGATCCACAAAACTGGGAACCCACTGAGACCCATCTTAGACATGTCGAATTCTCCATATCATAAAATCGCGAAGTGGATTACAGAGGTCCTTACGCCTGTAAGAGACTTATTATCAAATCATTCTGTAAAAAGTTCATCTGATCTGACCGATATACTAGATACTTTGAACATTAAGGAAAAGGTTATGTGTTCAGTCGGCATAGAATCTTTATTCACTAATGTTCGTCTTCATGAAACTGTTGATTTCATTTGCGATTACATCACAAACAATGGGATAAACTTACTTATTCCTGTCATTTACACCAGAGACCACCTTAATAGGTACAGAAAATATCAGACTTACCTTCCAAGAAAAGCCACACAAACAAATCGATGGTGTTGCGACGGGGAGCCCTCTTGGGTCTCTGTTAGCAGATATATTCATGTCAAAATTGGAGAAACAATTGCAACGTATGCTTGGAGAATTCATGCCATATAAACGTTATGTGGGTGATACACTCACTACTGGTAATAATAGCAAGTCTATCAAAAACTTTATTACTCTATTTAATCATATTCATCAAAATATCGGAGAGACGATGGAACGATCAAGCGATCTATATTTCGTAAACAGACGTGGAGTGGACAATATCTTCATTTCACCAGTTTTGTTCCTATCCAGTATAAACGTTCCCTAGTGAAATGTTTGTTCTCAAGGGCCCGAAAAAACAAAATGCACGAGTGACACGTTGATGGATGAGCTTCGATATATACATTCAGTTTTATTAGCTAATGATTATCAAGAAAACTTTATCATTTGTCACAGTAAGGATACACCACATCTAGAAAAGACAACTTTTGTACCAAAGAAAGCTATCTTTGTTAATCTAGCATTCAAGGATGACCAGATTATGCAGTTGACAGCTCAAAGACTTCGGTCGGCAATCAAATGCACATTCTACGCCGCATCTCTTTCTCTCACATGCCGAACATTTTCGATCCCTGTACGATTAAAAGACGAAATTCTGTGGACTCTACTTTAAACTGTGTCTACAAGTTCACCTGCAGTTGCGGTGAGACCTGTATAGGTAGAACCAATAGAATGTTGCAATGTCGTCGAAAAGAACATGTTCCAAAGTGGTTATTGGGACACAAAAAATCCCAATGCAATTAATCTAAATATAAATCCATCATCATCCATTGCAAAGCACTTATTAATGTCAGGTCACAAAATCAATATTAGTGACTGCTTCACAATTATTTCACATAACTCTAATTCGAGTTTGGTTATTAAGGGTGATGGAAACAAAACCATTCCAACAGTGGTGTGAACACGGGCAGTAATTTTGCTCGAAATATTACCAATAACAAAACTTATCATTGTGTGTAAACTATTGAAATATAATTATACTTTATGTGATGGAAGCACTTTGGATTAATCACATTCATCCTAAACTGTGTGTACGAAAAACAATTGACTTCAACCTTCTCTTGCCATGGACTACTTGACCTATTTGAATATGATTGGTCATTAGTATGTACTTTTGTTTTATATGACTGAGTTATTGTCATGCATTTTATTTTATTATTGTGAACCATGTTGGTTGTAAAGCGGTTGTAAAGAAACTACGAAATGATCTCATCGCGAAATTTGTCTTCTAAATGCCTTATTCAAATTTATCAAAGGGACTAATTGTTTTAATTCAAAAGACGCAAATAAACAACTAATCACGACAATGGTTGTCAGGGGATACGATTATATAATTCATGGAGAATTCAAATAAGTTCATTTCATACTAAAATCTGCGCTGAAGATGATGTCTAGAAGGACAGTGAAAGCTTTGTAATTAAATCAACCAGATCACACAACAACGAGATAAAAATAATCACGTTGTCTTTCCAACATTAATTTTCTTCTGAACATTATAATTACTTTGGATGAATTGATTGTCTTATCAGTATCGCCATCAACGCCTTCGAACCTACAGCTGCATAGTTGATTCACACAACACCATGCATGACCACCAGTTGAGAATACCATCATCCTTTTACATATGCAATACAGTATTTCATTCACTGCCAAACAAAACTACACACATAAGCTGTTGAATTATTGTTGCTTCCATTTCAGCATTTTGAATACTAACCTACCTATTGAAATAAGAAGGTAGGTATTTACCCGTTCACAAACATAGCAATACATTAATGAAACAAGACAAAAAATATAGACAAATTTAAACAAATAAATACAGCAACACTAACAAAATAAATAATACCTGAATTGGTGTAGCTAGTAAAAACATAAGCATATTTTCAAGCGATAAACCAGATATTATCATAGGTGTGGTGGAATACTGAATTGTTGTGTGCAAAGCAGAATTGAGAGAATTATTCAGATTATTATTACTATTATTACTATTCATATTATCATTATAATACATGGAATGATCGAAGGATCTCTGACGAAAATGTTGTGGACAGCTTTCGGGTGCATTATGCGGCCATAGTAACATGAATATCATCATTATAATCATAGTTGGTAATGCAAAGAATAAACTGAAATAGAATGATCTGCGCCATCTAAAAGGAAGAAAATGCTTTTTAAATCACTAAACAAAATATGATGAATAAATAATCAAAAAACAATAAAATGTTTCAGATAAACAGCTATTTGACAATTAATCACAGAGGTGTATTGATCATCGCATTTTAGTTATCATAAAACAAGTTCTACAGAAATTTCTCACGATCTGAATATATTAGCGGAATATCCTCCTAATACATCACTGAATGGAACACAGTAAGTAGACGATTTTTGAAAACTTGTGACTGCTGACAAGCAGAAAACATTCGTAAAATAGAGCTTGGTGTTAACTGACTCCTAATGTTTCACATCAAGAATAAGTTAGTCCCGATTAAAAATATAACAAATCAACGACAAAAAACTTTATAGTTACTAATTAGACGATATTATATGTACCCTAAACAAACATATTTTAATGACACACCTTAGTAGAGAATCGGATTCTTGTAAATTTTTTTGTTCAGGTCGATGTAACACGGGACTATAATCTAAATCCTGAACATGAAATGAAAAGCAAGAGAAACAAAAAAGGAAAAATTATTCATCATAACATAATTTTATTTCCGTATTATTTACTGATGATTTTCAGACCATAAACTCTATTGCTTATAAACATATCAAGGCACTAATATAAATTTCAGACTTTGTTTATATAATTCCTTTATTTCATTGATATAAGAATAAAACTTGCGCACTGTGGTAAAGTGTAATTCCATTATGGGTAAATGTTGTTTTGATAAAGTCTCACAGTGTAATACAGTAATGTTCACTGATGACCTTGATATGATTATGAGCAATAAATTGTACTCGAAACGTCATCAGTAAACATTACTGTATAACACTGTGAGACTTTATCAAAACAAAAATTTACCCATAATTGAATTCCTTTATTTGTAATCCTTTGATTTTATTGATATTAATATTTTCCATATATCTGGTATTAGCACTACATCACTCCTATTACACTTGTTAGGTATAAATTCGATGAACAGAAATTCAGTGATCAACCGCTAATGGATGTGGTCCTCATCGACTTTACCGACGAAAGGAGACTGACTTGTTACCAGGGCGCAGTCTCGTCATTCTGGAGTATTCAGATGACATTGCTTTCCAAAGTGAAGACACTGATAAATTGTAGTTTTCAAAACACCTCGAGAAGAAATATTCGGATGTTTGGAACACGATTCATCCCTGTTATATGTAAGATGATACTGGAGGACTGGTCTGCACTAACTCTTAAAGACAGAGAGTGAAGTCGTTGAGTTTGTTGACCACTTCAGTTGTTTGAGAAGTCATATCAGCACCAATGGACTGATTGATAAAGCAATCTCAGCTAGGGCTAAAAAACGCCTCGTCTGGTATTTGTCAGCTTCAGTCATCTTTGTAATAGGTGTGATATCCAGTATCAATGAAATGGCAATCGTCCTTTCTTACAACTGTGGAACAGATGTTGAAAGAGGCAAATAAAAAAATTAGCTCTAACCGATTATGGGTGTTCGTGTTCACTTTTTCGCCTTAGGTGGTGTTATATGGTCAGTAATAATAAAGTTAAAAGTGAAATTTGAAGTAAGGATGGAGTTGAGATCTAAAATATGACATCTGCAGCAAAATGGATTAATAGTTATAAAAATGATATCGGCATTCAAAATTACTCTGTTATTGTAATATTATTACATCTCCACTTAGTTGTGCGGAATTTGTAAAAGAATACTGGGATTACTATTTCACAATGAGGTGTAGATACAGCCAGAATGTCCGAAACTTCGAACGAAAGTGTATCGTTTCAGACTACCAAGTAATTCTGACTAATACCAAGACAAAACTAACTATTATTGATATATGTATAAAACTTGGTCACGGTGGTAAGGTAAGGCCCTAAACTTCCTGCCGATTGCCTCCAACCATATAATTCCAACAATTCACAGTGCACACTGATGGCAAGCCACCTAGCATGGTGGCCACATTGCAAACTTGACTGATAGAATTCATTCTGCACCGAAGATGGGACTAACTACTGATTAGTGTCCAATCAAAAGTATCGTTCCACTACAGATACCATTTTATTTTGATAAACCATACAGTTTTATACAGTAATATTTACTGATGGCACAATTTATTACCGCTCATAATCACATCAGGTCACTCACACAACTTTCTAACTTAGTTTACATAATTCCACTATTTTTCATCGCTTGATTTGATTGGGAGTAGTACTTTCCCTATTTCCGGTGTGAGTGACGAGTCATTCATCTTGCATGTATTGGGTATAGACTTGATGAACCAGGATTCAGTAATCAATCTCTCTCTTTCCACCTACCTATATTACTTTTCAGAATTTTAACCCTCTCTCACCCTATTGTGTGGTTGTGTGTTAATGCATGCAGTGTGGTTGCTGAGTTTTCTTCTAAATTGCTTATCTTCGTGGGATCAATCATTCTAACCTTAGCTAAATTCTTATGTTCTGATAATCTCACTACTCCTGATCTACTAGTTTGAACTATGTAGTTGACCTCACAGTCAATGCAAGGGATTTTGTAAATTATATTATTTTGTTTAATTGGGTCCACCGAAATACTGAATGCTGTAGAGACTAGCCGTGCGTCAGAGACTTAGTGGTAGAACGCTCACAAACCACGCGCGTCATCTGGGTTCGGTTCCAGACCGACGCACTCTTCAACCCCGCACAGACAGTAGACAGAGAAGGTTGGCAGTGGGGCTAGCAACAGCATCCTGTAAAACAGAGAACACCACCGCTTCCGAAACTTCAGAGCTCAAGCTCTAAGTCCTATGTTCTACTCGTAAGGCAAAGTAATCAAAAAAATACTGAGGTTAGGTACAGGGTCTAATATACATTACGGATGCGTATTACATACTTCTATAGATTTAGATGGCTAGCGTTGATCCTACTCATGCATATCTATCGTTAATCCGAACGTACACTAGCAATGAACTCGAGAAGCGTCAATCTTAGTCAGTTCAAAACAAAGCAAATATATTGGAGGCTCTGATTGTTTCATTGAACTGTTTATGAAAGTACAGCCCTTTTGATTTTATTTGCCAAGAATAAATTTTTTTTCCAAAATAAAGATAATATAAATTTTTAAATACTCAACGAACAACAACAACAACGAGAATAAAAATTCAAATCTTAAATACTTCAATCTTTTTCATAATATCACGAGGCCCAATTTCATTTGGAATATACACAACACGTAAACATTTAGTGTGGAAGTTTAGCACAGCATTATGTACACCTTTAACTTTAATCAGTGCTGATTCAATCGTTGTACACTGCGAATAATTAGTAATATCATGGATCTGAATAAGGTAAGCAAAAAAATGGCAAAATTTTTTTTAAAAGTAGATGAAGAATACATTTCAGAATTACAAATGTGTTATTCAGTGATTGTTTTTATAATAATTTGATAACAGTTGTTCTAAAGTAATTAAATATCCCTAATGTCAAAATTGTGCGTAGGTGGCACAGTGGTAGAACGCTCACCGACCACGCATGTGGTCCGGGGTGCGATCCCCGGCCGACGCATTTCTTTACCTCGCCAAACCAGTAATAAGACTGGTAAAGAGGGGAGGTTGGGCATGAGGCTAGCAATCCCATCCCATAAAAATAAACACCACTGCTACGGAAACTTCAAGCCTCTAGCTTGAAGCCCTATGTTCCACTGGGAACGTAAAGGAATAAAAAAAATGTCAAAATGAAAAAAGACATATAAGTGTACAGTATCGTTTTCAAATAATTCTTGTATATTAGACTAAAACCCGAGGAAGATTTAATTGGAAACAATATTTATGCATCTAAAATAAGTTGACATTTAACAGTTTGCGCTAATTAGGATATCGAGTATACGATATTCATTATTATAAGGTTTTCTATTTCCCAATGAATGAAAAAAACACAGCGATATTGCTTTTACTGACGTTTAGCAATTTAATGCTAATACCTTCATCAAAGTAATGTCAATTCAGATTTTATAAAATCTTAGTCTAGATACATTATCAAAACCAACAGAATTATGACAAGTGATTTCATTACTTAAACACCAGCTGGCTTTTATAATCTCATAAACTTATCATAATCAACAATCTGCAGATGGTTTGTTATATTAACTTTTATTAAACATTAACCACTTTGTCCAGAATACTTTAGTACATTAAAAAGATGAACAACTGTCTAACTGATAAAATATTAAACTTGGAAGAAGAAAAGGGAAGTTACGCTAAATTTATTTTTAGTTGGTGGTGGATAACCGTAGAATCCAGAAGATGCATTTCGTCCCGTTTGGGACCTGCCATCTGGATGTACCTGCATTCCCAGTGAGTGATGGTGTTCCCACTGTGACCCAAACTCTGATTGATTGGTTACAGGATTTCATCATGAGCTGACATCGGTTAAAAAAGGAACTGGAAAACCTCGGAGTAGTGAATAGCTGTTTCGTCCTAGTCTAGGACTCCTCATCGGTACGCACCCACCGCCAGGGTTCGAGCCCAGCACCTTTTGGCTACAAGGTGAGCTCGTAAACCGTTAATCCACTAGGACCCAATCGAATGGCCGATGAATTCTAACTTCTGCCAATTCACTACATGGTGCAATCAATAAACAGTGTCTTCGGAGAGTATTTGTCCTCACGCCAGACCTGCTGTACCCTACTGGTCACGACTTCCCACTAGAACATAATTAGAATTCATCAGCTATTGGATTCTAGCCCAAATGGCTGAATGATCAGCGAATTTGGTCTATTAAACTGAACGTCCCACGTTCCACTCTCATTAGTTTCGTGGATACGTAGTGATGAAGAATCCCGAACTGGGACAAAACAGCCATCTGGTACTCCCTGGTTTTTAAGGGTTCTCTAACTGATATCAATATATGATCAAACTAAAAATATGCAACAATATTATACATATATATATATATATAGGCATACTAACCTTGAAGTGAACGATACCACGATTTTGACTACCATTTCCACCGTCGTCATGTCGTTCTAATAATTCCGCAAAGAAACCTAATTCTTGAACACGTTTAATTATTTGTTTAACACTTATTACAGATGGATCATACGTAATTTCTGCTTTCATAGCAATCAATGCAACAAGAACTGAATGAACACCTAAAATAAGTATGTAACAATATAATAATACACAAAATATACCAATTGCAAAAATCTATAAATAAAATGCTGAAGTGTAACAAAATCTAATTGGAAAATGACTTCCAAGCGATTACATCTTGAGTAAAGTATTTAGAAGGTTAATAATAAGATTGACAAGGGTGCCCACACACAGTAAAATAACTGGAATTGTAATGTACAAATTAACTCTATGAGTTTACGGAGTTATATGGTTGAAGGCAATCGGCAGGAGGCCTTGGACCTAGGTTTCATGCTGGTTGGCACTGGTCAGCAAGGCGTATCTGTAACCTCTGACTGCAGCACTGGGAGACGCGAGTTTGAATCTCAGAAGTGACATGAGTTCCTTCAAGGTTGCAGATACGTATTGCTGACGATTGCCAGCTAGCACGAAACCTAGGTCCAAGGCTTCCTGCCGATTGCCTCCAACCATCCAATATCATCAAATTAATGTGTACCGTGATGGCGAGCTACCTAGGTGGCCACATTGCAAGCTTGACTGATAGAATTCAGGCTGCACCAAAGTAAGAACTAGCTACATCACACTAGTTACTAGTGTCCAATCAGAGTTTACAGAGTCTCCACAAATGATTAATCTTATTGCAGAAACAGAAAAATGATGGACAATATGATATTTGGGCGATTTACACAAGTTAACACTTAGTTACAAGACTAATATTTTTTTAATATCACCAAAATTCAGCACAGGAATAAGCGGTTCAACGGAAAATACAAGTTTTGTGATTAAGGACTTTTTAGAGTGAAAATTTTTTTCTCTTCTGGTTCTCGAAAGAAACTTCTGAAAATTACGCCAAAGGGAGTAAATTCATCACCTACTTAGGATTATAGATAGTGCATGTTTATCCCACAATCTATTCGGTCTATGTGATATGGAATATTATAAAAGACTTCATAATTAGGAATTGTACCATAGTTACAATGTGTTATGATGATCAACCATGCAGATAGATTTAGGCTTTTATTCATTAGCTAACTTAGCAGAGATTAGATAATATCTGAGTAACAGATATCAAGGTCAAGTGAGACAAAACAGGGAGCAGACACAAACTGATAGGAACTACACTAATGAACAACATAGTCGACGGATGAATTGTAGAATGCATTTTGAGGGGGAAAAATTAACTATTTTCTTATTCTAAAACTCCCACTCAGACATTTAGAAGCCAAAAGAAAATTCGATCAGACAATATTGTTTTCGACAAAATCCTCTTTCAGCTCTACAATATATATATTCTGGTGCTACCTCTATGCGTATCCACTAATTTTACTGCTCCTATGGAGTCGGTCACATACGACGTAAAATGAAGCGTGATTATCATCAGATTTCCGAACACCATCCTGCCATGGTTAACCAAGTGACAGAACACAAGATTCCATCATGGATAAAATTTATTTTGATAGAGTCACACAATGTTATACAGTAATATTTACTGATGACGTTGCGAGCATAATTTATTGCTCATAATCACGTCAAGTCACTCACACAACTTTTTACTTCGTTTATATACAAGAGTAAAAAATGAGTAGACATTTGAATACAATCAATATAAGACATGAGTGAAATAGAAAGGAAGATAAAGTACATTCAGAAACACTATCAGTGTTACAAATTAACATAATACGATGAGAATTAACACTCGTGTTGTCAGTCAATAAGATCCGAAAAAAGATGATTTATCGTAAAATAAATAACTTGTTAGAGTGTTATGATATGAATTGAAATAAATTTTAACATTACTTAGTATCCTCCGATTTAACTGGTGGTAATAATATCTTCCATATCTTTGGTATTTGCATTGAGTCACTTCTATTGCATGTATTGGGTATAGACTTGATGAACCAGGATTCAGTAATCAATCTCTCTCTTTCCACCTACCTATATTACTTTTCAGAATTTTAACCCTCTCTCACCCTATTGTGTGGTTGTGTGTTAATGCATGCAGTGTGGTTGCTGAGTTTTCTTCTAAATTGCTTATCTTCGTGGGATCAATCATTCTAACCTTAGCTAAATTCTTATGTTCTGATAATCTCACTACTCCTGATCTACTAGTTTGAACTATGTAGTTGACCTCACAGTCAATGCAAGAGATTTTGTAAATTATATTATTTTGTCTAATTGGGTCAACTAGGTCGTTTAACCTATAGAGCTTGTCCCAGAGTGAGTTTGTAGGTTTAAATGCCACTCTAATTCCTGCTCTATCCTACGTAGGGTCTCAGATGTCCCCTTATATGATAAAACCGTCGATGCCTCATATTCCTTCTTATTTGGGTTATCATTATCAGTTTCACTGTTATTTTTATTTTGCTTTTGACACTTTTTGAAATTCCTAATGAATTTTATAGGATAGTTATGCAGCACCAACGCCTCTTCTGTCTGATTCATTTCATAGTTTAGGTCTTTTTTGTGCTACTTAGTGCTTTGGCTCGGTTTGTTAGACGCTTAACTAAACCAGCCTTTACAGACAACGGATAAGATGAATTAAAGTCTAAATATCTATTAGCAGAATGCGTTGGTTTTTTATAAAGGCTGGTGTGAAAGTTCACCTTCTTCTATTCGTTTTATTTTGCAATCAAACAGCTAATTCTCCTTGTTCATTTTCCGATTCAAATATGAATTTTATTCCCTTTACTATTGAGTTTATATGTGTCAAGAAGCTAGAGACATATTCTGTTTATAACACTGTGAAAGTGTCATCCACATGTCTCCACCATATTTGTGGAGTACAATTAATTGCAATAAGAGTAATATTTCCTCAACTGTTCATAAAGATATCTGCTATCATAGGAGATATTGGTGATCCCATTGCTACACCTGTTTGTCTATATACTTTGCTCCCTCAGAGACAAGCTCTGTAGGCTGAAGGACCCGGTCAACCCAATTAAACAAAATAATATAATTTACAAAATCCCTTGCATTGACTGTGAGGTCAACTACATAGTTCAAACTAGTAGATCAGGAGTAGTGAGATTATCAGAACATAAGAATTTAGCTAAGGTTAGAATGATTGATCCCACGAAGATAAGCAATTTAGAAGAAAACTCAGCAACCACACTGCATGCATTAACACACAACCACACAATAGGGTGAGAGAGGGTTAAAATTCTGAAAAGTAATATAGGTAGGTGGAAAGAGAGAGATTGATTACTGAATCCTGGTTCATCAAGTCTATACCCAATACATGCAAGATGAATGACTCGTCACTCACACCGGAAATAGGGAAAGTACTACTCCCAATCAAATCAAGCGATGAAAAATAGTGGAATTATGTAAACTAAGTTAGAAAGTTGTGTGAGTGACCTGATGTGATTATGAGCGGTAATAAATTGTGCCATCAGTAAATATTACTGTATAACATTGTGACTCTAACAAAATAAATTGTATCTACAATGGAGTTATACTCTACCACAGTGCCAAAGTTTTATCTTTATATGAAGAACAAGAGATTTATGTTGACAAGGCCTTCAAAGTCATCTGCCGCATACCGACCAACCTTAATTTTAAGTCGAGTGCGTGTGTTACATATTACTGTGGCTGTCGTAATCCACATTAATAAGCCTAACTTACGTACATATGTTACACTCGGAACTCAATTAAATAATAATATAATGTAAAATGTAACTAATTGATATTATTTAAAAAACCTCAATATTGTTAATGACGATTATTCTAGAATATTTTATGTATATAAATGTACATATAATTGTAGAGCCTGAAGAGGAATTCATCAAAAAGAACATTCTTTGCTCGAACATTCTTTTTTATTTCAAACTAATAAAACTACCATCTGGTGCATTAAAGTCTAATTTTCGATCAACATTTTGTCCATAGAAGAAAACCAACTGCATAATTATGTAAATTTTACACAAGAATGGACCTATATACCTTAAAAAGCATAACTGCAGCGATAGAAAAATTTAGAAAATGAAAATTTATTCATATAATTCATTTCTAACCTTGTAATTTTAACAAACTTTGTTCAATAGTATGTACACAAGAGCTACATGTCATTCCTGTAACACGCAAATAACACTTGCTGTAATGTGAATTTGACTTGATCTCTTTACTTTCCATAAAGGATAACTGACCGTCTGAACTAGAAAAATAAACAGGATTCTTAAAAGAATTTTGTTTGTCTCCACTGACTGCACTATCTAGTGGTAATGAATGCTGCTGTGTAGTTAGCGAGTCAGGTGGAATTTCAGACATGTGTTTTATTTTAGTTGCAGCAATATTATCTGAAAAGTAAAAGCAGGAGTGTACATATAACTAGGCATGCATGATTTAAGTTAAACATATACCATATGCAATAAATAATATAAAAGGCGTCTGCTTGATGTTTTGAATTATCTTAGCACAATATTGTATGGTGCTCAGGTAAGTCTATAATCAATGGGCATATTGACACACCAGATATACCAAAAATTGTGAAAGAAGTTATGCGTACAAAATGTCAGACATCAGGTCAACAAAATAATCAATGCGAATACACATTAAAAAGAAGGTAAAAGGATCCACAAAGAAAGACAATCGCATTCACGTTCATCAGGAGAGAGCTGTAGTTCACTGGTCTAGGTACCCAACTCTCAACCAGTGGATCACGAGTTCAAACCATCATCCACTTATCAAGGTAGGATCACTAACCCTTACACAAGAGGTGTGGTTCATTGCCGATTAAGCGACATTGCAAGTGATTATCAAGTGACATTTCATCAGCAGAGATGATTATTAAATTCATGTGAAATTTCGAAAACAAACTTTATCCCGGAATTGCAGCTGGAGATATGGTTTAGAAAAACAATAAAACCTTCACAATCAAACTATCTACGTAAGGGAAGGCAATTAAACCAAAAGTAATATTGTGTTTACTATTAGTATACGTACAGCTATTGCACATTGTTTCAGGAGTTTGACTTTCGACCAGTCGGTTACAGGTCCTGATTTTACACAAAGTAATGAAGTTTAAGCAGTCAGGTAATATTATTATCCCCCATACAAGATGTATGATAAGTAATTTAATAAAAATACATACCATTCAATTAGTCAAATTAACTTCCTACATAGTTAAGGAAGTTAATTTGACTAATTGAATGGTATGTATTAGTAACGACACTAGAGAAGAGAACTTTGAGAAGTGATACTAAAATTGAGATAAGCTTTAATATTGAATGAGAAGGTTGAGCAATTTTCAAACAAAAGCAAGATTTTGAACCACTGCATTTAAAATTTTCACTTGGGGACTTTTACTGATTAGTCATAAGTAAATAAGATTCCTATGGACTAGTCGAGTGGGAGATATTTGTTGTCTGACAGGTTTTATGTGAAGTGTCATTTCACTTAACAATTCAAAATTTGAATTAAAGTTACTTGGAAAATCACTGCGTATCACGAATCAGCAGAGATAAAGCAATTAAGATTACAAGTGACGAACTCAGCAACTACAATGGATTTTTTGTTGTCACTTTGAGCTACGTAGGGAAGTGAAAACAACCTGATCGGGATCATCCAGACGCTAAGAGCTAATGAGTGGAGACTATTGGTGACGTGGCTTAAAATCGTTCTCAGTAGCGAAGATACATTTGCCTTTTGTAATTTCTCATATCCATTAAATTGATCACTATTCCCCAAGTAAAGGACTTTGAGGGACTTTAAAAATGGAGCTGAATGTCCGGAGTTCATCAGATGTTCTGTTACAGAGCTATACATACACCTACCTTATCTCTTCGCTAACCAGGTTGGGTGGTATCCCCGAGCGTTTTACAAGTGGACGCATGGTACGGTCAATGTAATCAGCTCCACAAAAGTAAGTGAACTGGTACATACATACTGAAGTAGCCCAGTTCGACAGCCTGTCTCTTATGGGCTGGCTGGATATTTTCTTGCAAAAAATGTCAGTTATAGACTGCCAGCGAAGTATGTTTCACTGAGAGATTATGATTGCTTCCCTTCAACTACATTTCTGCCCATTATAGTTCTTTTGAATCTTTTTTCCCACCTTGTATGCTATATGGAGTGCAACAACTTGAACTGCTGCACTTCTGTGCAAAGTTCTACGGTGAAACTCAGTCAGTCATGTGTTGCATAATGAAAGATATTTATTGTTTGATATCACTTCGTAACCCAAACGTCTATAATTGAAGTTAGATTTCAAACAATCTTTCGTGCCAATTCACGCATGATTGTGAAGCTGTATTTCATTTCACTTATCTTTTACACAAACAAAAAATGATGTTAACCAGTTGACTAGCTCAAGTACCACTGTGGTGAGAGCTGGCTGCTAGCGAAAATTGGTAGACAGTAATTTATGTCCCCAATATTGGTCATGAGAAAAATAAGAACAAGGACTGACTCAACAACCAATCACAGCAGACTTTGCGTAGGCGGATACAATTTGCAGATAGATAATCTGAACTTCAAGAAACGGCCACAAAGAGATGAAGGATTAACGTTCAGCGAGAAACCACCAATCAGAAGACTGTGTTTGTTCGCTTACAATAATCTATAATAATGTATATGGAAATATATAAATATGTGTTGATTTCCTAAATAAACAATCTGTTGCCTGGCCCTTGTCTTCTGTTGTTACACTACGATTTCGATTCTGAATATGTCATAATAACTGTGAATAAGTGTCTTTATGGCTAAAATACGAATTCATGAAACCACCGAGTACTAAGCAAACATTTTTGTACTACTACAGCATGCCATAAACAATTAAAAATCTTGACTGATTAAAGATGCCAGGTAGATGTTCAGTAATCAACCTTTTCAAATCAAAAACCTACTGGATGATCAACGAATTTAATTTCTTCTATGCCATTAGTCATAAATAAATCAGCCGAATAACAGATTTTGTATAACTTCCTAATGTTGTGGCTACGTGACACTCCTAGTGATAGCAGTTGTGTGAAGGCCGATAATACAACCCAGTTGCTCAGGTTGAAGTAGATCCAGCGGGATTGGAACCCATTATATTCAGTATAAATTTGATGGCCGGTAAGCCATATCTATAAGTCTGTAGACATTTGTTCTGTTGTTTTATGCAATAAATGCCCCTAATGCCGTAGAAACATTCGTACGCTGTTTAAAACAAATGTCTTATTTAGCTAATAAACAGTAGAATAATTTTCCTACAAGGATCTACAGTTTGCCAGCATCTTACAAAAATGAGCTGGAAAAGTGAATTTCGACGTATACTATTTCCTTTAACGAATTAAGTAAGTATGGGGACTTAGTGTACGGTGACATATATAAAGGGGTTTAATAAATAAAAAATTACTACACACACCATTTATATATATGTAAGAGAAGCTATTCATACCTTTCTTATCAGACGTATGAGCATCTGAGTCTGTTGTTGTATCATCTGTAGTAACTGATGTTGTAAAACCAAGCTGTTTTATTTCGGAATGCAATTTTACTACGTCAATTTTCAATAAATCAGAGGCTGTTTGAGCAAAATAATTTTCTGCTGAGGCCATCACCTTGAAATCTTTTTCTATAACAAATTTGGCTTCTTCATTTGATAATATTGCACGGCATTCTTTCAGATTGTATAATTCTCTAATTGACTTTTCATTAAAATGGGATTCAATTTTTCGTACACATGAATTACAATGCATACCGTATAAAGAAATCATGATTTCGTAATTATTCACCTGGAAAATTATTTTGAAGATAAACGTGATGACAAATTAGAATGTAGTTATGTGTATATTCAAAAGTTTAGTACTTATTCAGACAATCAAATCAAAAATTCTGTCGTATATTATTGAAACACGAACAAGAGATGTGCCGCAATGAATCCCATAGTGAGTGTGAGGGCTAGGATACCGCCTGAATGCCTAGACCGAAACAAGAGGTTGTCTTAAGGGGTCACCTCCCGAGCGGTGAAGCAGCATCCCCATGTTTGGCGGTGACCAAAACATGTTCATACGTCATTCTATTCTTTCGGATTCTGGAACCCATGTACACCCTAGGTTTAGAATCAGGGTTTTCCAGCTTCACTACAACCGGACAGGTTGTAAGTGTCAGAATTTCGCATTCGTGCTCTAACTTTTATGAGAAACGCCGCCGCGTGAAGGCAGTGAATAGGACTTACCTGGCAGAAGCTATGAACAAGTGAGCAAATGAGAGCGCTTCTAGATGAGAACCGAGGTATGGCTACCGTCAGCCATATTAGGTACTTTATTGACAAATCAAAAATGTTGACCACAATATCATATATGATCAGCAGTTGTAAAGTCAACAAATTTGGGAAGTATTCATTCTGTTTAGTGAAGAATTTTTATTAGCAGAGATTTCACATTTGACCTTAACCATATTAATTCTACAAAACTATAAAATCTATAATACATCTTATATATCTACCTACAAAACTTATACTAATTTGTATCATGAAAACGATTACTGGTCAGTTAGATTAACTAGAGTAAGTATTCACAAGGAAGACATTAGAGTCAATGGGCGAATTGGATAATAAAAGCATTCAACTGAATTAGTCTGCATATGTTTTTATGCATCAGGTCAAAATCAGCGACGGGAACAATACTGATGAGTATGACATTCCCATAAGTTCTCATGAAACGAATAAGACATAAACACAATCAACAAATTAGAACAAAACCTTTCACGAAAGGCAACAGTCATTTCAAACACGTGGAGTTGTACTTAAAGTGCATAATTTTTCATAAAAAGATTTCGTTGGATAGTCGTATTTACTGAAAGGATTCCCAACTTAAATAAAATAACATTTGACTTTACTTCAGTAAATGATAAAACGGTTGGTTTGCATCCCTCTATGTGACACCACTTAGTTGCAAACTGATTGCGTATAAGGCTGGATGTATATATATATATTATATATACATATATATTATATATATATATATATATATATATAATATTCAGACACGAAAGGGGATTGACTGTTCAATCATTGTTTATCGAGTTAACATTTAGTGCAAGTAACGCGTATCGTTCAACACTTACTTTGTTTACTTGCATAATTATACTACGCCTAGCAATGCGAGCTCTAAAACTGTGGAAATTTTTTTTTATTACTATGGTATGGATGGGAATAATAAATGGTCAGCGTACTGCCGATGATTCCCAAACTAGGATGAAACAGCAGCTGTTCAATACTCCCTGGTTTTCAATGGTTCTCTAACTGATATCAGTCCGTGATCAACTCGTAAAAACATAACTAACCCTTACAAACCAAACTATAGAAAATTAATCTGATGCTCGCTAGTGTCTTGCTACAGGATGGAGTTTCCTGGAGTTCTAGTGAGAAGTCGTGACCAGTGAGGTCCAACTAAATGTCACATGTGTGGATGGATGTCCCACCAACGACAATGGTTGGGGTCGCGCTAAATCACGAATTGGTAGAAGTTAGAATTCATGAGCCATTGAATTGGGTCCCAGTGGCTGAATGGTATACGAGCTTGCCTTGTAACCGGAAGGTCCTGGGTTCGAATCCCAGTGGGTGCGTACTTCCGATGATTCCCAAACTAGGATGAAACAGCAGCTGTTCAGTACTCCCTGGTTTTCAGTGGTGTTCTAACTGATATCAATCTGTGATCAACTCGTAAAAACATAACTAACCCTTACAAACCAAACTATAGAAAACATTCAATAAATGGATTAACATAAAATAGCAAAACAAACCGCGATATTTAAATTCTACTCCTATACAACAAAAGTTATGCTAATGGTGATACCATCCTTAAGGGGTATCAAATGATAGATCACCACTGTAAACCTTAATTTAATATACATCTGTTCTATATTAATTAAGACTGAAGCGATTTGTTAGATTATTTAACTCGGTTATGAAATCTCCGAAAATTAACTACTTTCTGTTAGACATATGAGGAAAAAGAAAGTGAATCTTAAACTTGGGTTTTAACCTAGGCATATTTCGTGAAGAATTTCATTAATGACGACATTTTAGAATTTCTATGTGTGACACCGAGAAAGAATCAAAAGTTCCAATAAAAAGTTACAAAACACTTACTTGAAGTGAATTATTCTCAAACTGATAACTTGCAACCTTTGGTTCAAACTGTTTAGATAAAATTTCTTTCTCAGAATTACTTGAGGATGAATTAAATAGTATCAGTCGGGCAGTTGGATACTGTTTAGAAGTTAAAAAGTCAGAAATTTGTCTGAGTAATTTAATGTAATGAACAGAAGATGAAACAGTATCCGTTTCCAGAAAAGAAATGTCCAATGTCAGAAGTCTTCCATTTTGAGATGAAGCTAGAACATGTAGATTGTAGCTGAGGTTCAAAGAATTATGATATGTACTAAGTAATTCATCCACCCTGTCGATACTAACTGCATCATTATGTTGTACGATCAAAAGATTCAATGGGATGTGGGTAAATCTTTCCAAATCTGCTTTTTCAGATATTTTTATATGTGATTGGGATTTAGGTAACACAAATGAAGGTAACTCATCGATTAAAATCGGTTTATTTTTGTATATATATGATTGAGGTTTCAATGTAGCTTTTATTCCCGTCATATTAATACTGTTTGTTAGATCTGCGAATTAAACAAAGTCAATACCAAAATTAACACAAATAATGGGATTAAAGGTGTATTATGTCACGAACAAGGGTCAGCCAGGAAACAACAAAAACACGAAGAGCGTTGAGTAACTGTTTCGTTGCATTAGTAAATACACATAGCCTCACTTGAATACCTCTATAATAAGAAGTCTCACTATCATATTTAAAGTATATTATCTGGCAAACATTCCTATTCTGTCTGTCTGGATTCAACATAGAACTTGGCACCGAAGTGCAGCAGTTCGAGTTGCCACGTTCCAAATAGCACACAAAGGTAGACAGGAAAATGAGCGAAGAGAATCAATAGAGTTTTGACAAGTATAAGAGTGAAACAGAATGAGTAATGGTAGAAAGGAATATGAAAGATTACAGAGACTGAATACATCTGCGCCATTGACAACGATTTTGAGCCATGTCACCTAGTGTCTCCAGCCATTGATTCTTAGAGTCCCGAGGGTGGGCCCCAACCCGGAAGTCTGCATCTCCTTACCTGACTCAGTTTAACTGTCAAGGATTTCATGGATTGATGCCATGTTTTTGTCTGGCCACCACTTACTCTTTTCCAACCTGCACCTATATCAGCTAGTAATGCCCGTCGGGGGAGGCGATGGTTAGGCATGCGCAGCACGTGACCTAGCCATCTCAATCTATGTAACTTTATAGCCTCTTCGATTGATTTTCCCTCTTTGCCCAACATTCTACGCCTAACGTAAACATTACTTACTTTATTATGCCACCTAACGTGAGAAAGAGATCGTAAACATCTATGATCAAAAACAGACAACCTTTTCATGTCTTCAACTCGTATTGGCCATGTTTCAGAGCCATAGAGGAGGGCAGAGCGAACTGCTGAGCAGTACACACGTCCCTTGGTTGATAGCCGGATGACACGCCTACGCCAGAGACGGTGAAAGTTAGAGAAAGCAGCTCGAGCTTTTTGGATCCGTGCTGAGATTTCGTCACCAATCAATCCGTTGGTGCTGATACAACCTCCCAAACATTCCTGTTATTAGATAAACGTATTATTACTTCCTATGGATAATCATATTTGTTTATCTGAATTTTATTTATTCACGAGCAGCAAAATATACTCAATGCAGGACTGATATTCTCCTTCAGCAACGGCACTACTTTTTCAAGGTGAATGGCACTTGTGGATAATAAAAAAGTAACTTACCAAAAACTGTTACATGTTGTAAGTGCCATATTTCTACAGTAGATGATGACGTACTGACACGGAAAGCAATTACACCATGAAGACCTTGTAGACACTGGTGAATAGAATCTTCACAGTTATCTGGTGTGAGACACTCAAGACTCAGGCAAGTCTCCAAGGCCTTACCATGCATCTTATCTTGATATTCAGCGGAATTTTCCATTTCATACACTGCTTGTGCCTCGAAACCCATATTATTAACAGTGGTAGCAAAACACTCCGCATTAATATTGCTTTCTTCGTCATAAATGATCACGGCCCGAGCAGATTTAAGTGAGATCTGTTAGAAGATCAATTAAAGCAGATACAATAAGGATTATTTAAAAAACTATAGAAAAAAATTCAGTATATGCTTAATGAGCTCTTCACCGAAAAAACTATCCAGTGATGCTCATACGGAGTGGTAGTTGTTTTGCTTAGTTGTATTTCACTACTAAAATCAACGTTTCACCAAGAAGTAAAGCCAAGACCGGTTCAAAAATTATAGTACGTTTCCAGTTAGAAAGACAAAAGTTAGAAATTAAAAAATATAAATGAATAGAGAGAGGATAAAAGTATCAACTAACTAAACGGTATTAACATGAAAGTCTGGAAATTAATCCCAGGAAATGGCAATGAACCTAAGCCAAAGACCTTACTGAGTGTATTATACGACGGAATAGAGTTGCATTAAGTTGAAGAACAAAACAATTTGGGAATTCTTGTCAGTCGTAATTTAAAACCTGCAGCAAACTATAATGCAGCTGCATCCAAAGCAACTCGAACAATTTAGGTACTTCCAAATAACTATATAGGAGAATGTTTATGATACTCTACTAAACATATGTGACTACATCTTGAATACGGCACACAGGCTGCTAATCCAAGCTTCCAAAACAACGAAAGTTTCAAAAAGATTACTAAGGGTTAATGAAGGTGATCTAGAACCTCTAATGTGAGGAAATGATTGCAAATTTAAGCCTCTTACGATTATTGTGTAGGAAAAGAGGTGGTCTTATTCTGTGGACTTCAATACTGGCATCTGCAGTCTTTCCTCTTTTTTCAAGATACCTCTGAGAGATCAGTATTAAAAACAAAGGAAAGTTGCAGCAAAGAACTTTCTTTCTCATCGTACGGCCCTACACCAATATATATATATATATGTATAACCTTATGCTTACATACGGATATATATATCTAGGCATAGCAGATATCTGGACATGTTGTTGACATACTTTTCCAAGACTTATTACATTAATATATAGCTTCCAGACAAGATGATATGTTATATACAAGCACTTATAAACACTAAACTACATAATTTTCGCACTTACGTGACATATTTAAGAAAACTATTAGTTAAAACTAGATTTGTACAAACTTACATCTATGTATATTATTTCGAACTTGTTTTTAATCACTGATTCGATAAGCTTTACACATGAGTTGCATGTCATACCACGAATTGATATGACAGCAAAATGAACTGGTTTCATATTCGATACTCGTCACAAAAACACTATCCATCAACAACTCAAAATTGTGCACAAACCTAAGGTCATTATTACATTCTATTGACAATAGTTTCAAAGTGACAATCACACCTTTTGGTTAGAGATTTTGTATCCAGTTTCCTTTCGAAAATTTTGTACAAAGCTTACGTCTTCTTGGCACTTTCTTGTTAGTGATTCGTTACGGTCCTAAATCACTTGTGGATTAAGATTAGTTGATGAGGATAGAAGGCTTCAAGTATATGTTAATGACTTTTGAGTAATTTTCTGTTTTCATCAAGACCCTTTTCGAATAAGTCATTTGAGGGTACTAATACCACTTCTTCCGGGAGTCGGTTCCAGGAGTTGATGACTTGTGTTACATTTGCTAAGTTACACAGGACCCTCATTTCTCTGGTGTTTCTGGCCAGGAAGCGGTGGAATTTATTGTAATTGGTTTACTTTCGGACAGTGGTCCTGTGACTATAATCTTGCTGGCTATTACTAGCTATAACTTACTGTTTGCCAATTTGTGACTGTTAAACACATTGAGCGGGTACCTATAGCTAACCAATACCTATAATTGTATATGGTATTTAATTTATATGCTTAAGTCCGCCCAAGTCAGTGAGTCTCTGGTTTACGTGTTATTTTTGGTAATTGCATTTGACAGTGATATTTTTGCTATGGCTTTTGTTGTTGCTGTCGCTGCGTTTTCTCTTGTAATTTTTTTGTTCCGATTCTTTACCTTTTATTTCCCTGGTTCTAAAGGGAGCAACGCAAAGGTCTCTCCTCTGTAACTTACATTACCACGTAATAACTCCCCACCATATAAATGAAACTGTTACAGAAACGTCAGTACGATGAGTCTCTTTGGGACAAAAGGAAAGTATACGTGGGACATTGAACGTCAGCGCTATGTATGAAACCGACAAAGCTGCCAAAGTTGCAAATGAGATGAAGAGGTATGAAACTGAAGTACTGGGAATATTTGAAAGAAGAGGAGCATATGCAGGCTCAGGCCGCTGTCTCGCGAAAGCAACACTCAAAATCAAATTGAAGGCTTCCAAGGACACAGGAGCTGCGGAGACACCACACGCCAATTTCAATACTCAAAAACTAAAAAATCAGGCCACGGAAGACATCTTCACTGCAGTCATAGGGAAAAAGGTGGAGACACAAATCAACACTAGCTGAGAGACCTGCGTTGAAAAGCACTGGAAAAACCTGAAAGCGGTGTGGAGTTAAACCTACATGGAAGCTCAAGGTAGAAAGAAGAGGCACGACAAACAGTGGCTAACCACAGGTACGTGGAGACTAATAGAAGAAAGGAGGAGGATGAAACAAAAGACCATCCAGCGCATCGGCGAACAACAAAAACAGGGTTTGAATGCAAGCTACAATACACTGAACAAAAGAGTAGAGGAAAGTGCCAGAAAAGACGAAAGATAATATTAAGAAGACATGGCAAGTGAAGAACAATTTGCAGGCCAACGGGACCTTCCAACACTCTAACAAACAACTATGTTCTTATCAAGGAAGAGATCATCACGAATTAAGCTAGTGAAGGTCGACAAGACAAAATCGACCACCAAGGAGATGGAGCAGTGGAAACACTGGGCTGAGAACTTCAGAGGACTTCTAAATCGACCGCCACCGACAAAACGCCCAGTAATACCAATAATGGAAGCAGAACTACCAGTGGATACCAATTCTCTGAAGAAAGCGGAAATCTTGGAGACCACAAAAATGCTAAAAAATGGAAAAGCATCAGGACCGGATGGAATCCCAGCAGAGGCATTGAAATGGACCCCGAGACATCAGCAGACTTTATGACACCACCACTTGAGAAGGTGTGGAAAGAGGGCAATGTACCGACCAAAGAAATCCCACTTAAGTCAATACAAGAATTGTCGCGGCACTGTGCTCCTGTCCATCCCAAGAAAATTATTAAGCCACCTCATCCTGGAGAGAATCAAACACTCCCTGGATGAAAAGCTTCAACCGGAACGGGCTGGATTCACGAGAAACAAGTCAGGCATCGATTAAGTTGCAACACTTTGTATCATTATTCAACAGAGCTTGGAATGGCATTCAGCTCTCTAACTCAACTTCATCGACTTTGAAAAGGCCTTTGACAGTCTCGATCGACAGGTGATTTGGAAACTACTTCGCTACTACGGGGTACCACCAACAGATATACACCTCATCCACAGCCTGTTGGAAATGCTCCTTCCTGATGTGCTATGTTTCTGGTCCACATAAAAGAACTGACTGACTTCCCATCTGTGTTGAAAATCCGAACTTTATTGTTTGTGCTGAGTGCAGAAGATTTCCAAACTGGTTTCAGGTTGATGAAGGTGTATCTTGCCTCTCCGATTCTGGCTGGTTGGCTTTGACATCTTCGTCCGTTCCAACTGCCTGTGGTTGAAACCGTGCTTCCTGGCCAGATAAGTGAAGGAAGTAATCTCTGTCAAATTTTTCCCGTCTACATAATGAAGGACTGGTATTATTCATCTGTTCAGAGTTGAATGTTTTTAAAGAAACTCATTTTTACCTATTTGCTAAATAATAAATGAAGCGTTATAACAATCTTTAACACACCAACAAATATTAGGCAGAAAACTAAAACTGTGTATTTTCAAAACACTTACGCGACCAGTATATGCAGATATCTCATGCTCTTCATCCAGGATGCGTGCAAAGCCACCATCAACAGTCCCAAATTCTACAGCTAAGTAAGCAAACTTCGGTGGAATCACACCGTATGCTCCAGATCCGCCTGGTTTAATTGTTATCAAACGACGGTTTTGATCCCATTCAGAACCTATTTCGCTGAGGGCTTTCTAAACAGTTTAAAAAAAATAATAAGTGGTTATACTGAATAATATTGCTAGAAGTGAAGACAAACAGAACACAAAATATTAAAATCTGATTTGGTGGCATATATAAGGAAATAGAAAAGAAACAGGAATGTAGATAGGTTGCAAGATGTTCACCATCGCATATAAGATAGACACTATACAATCGTGTTTCTGATTCTGAAAATCAAACCTACAGTATTTTATTATGAATCAATATCACAGAGAGAACCGAAATAAACTGAGAAAAGCTGGTAAATACTTCCTAAGGAAGTTTCAATTCCACGACCCATCGAATTCCAAATCACTTTATAGAGGGTAAATGCGCTTAAACATCGCCAAGTTAACAAGCACGCTAGTTTTCTAGCCGGTCCCAAGGCCGGGTAAAGAGGGAGGGTTGGGCGTGGGACTAGCAACCCTACACCACTAAGCCTATCAAACCTCTAGAGACTGCAGCGCACACAAAATATATTAAAAATACAAAAACTTCAAATAAATATCTTATTCTTCGCTGGAATCGGAGAGGCGAAATAACGCGGACTGGTGAAAGCCTTCGAGAAGCCAATCAGCCAGCCGTTGTATCTTCTCTCGATGAAAGCAAGAATAAGAATAGGGAAGTGGAATGTCCGTACAATGCACGAGACTGGGAAGGCTGCTCAGGTAGCCAAAGAAATGCGAAGATATGGCTTAGAAGTCCTGGGTGTCTGCGATAGCAGATCGAATGGATGTGGACTGTCAAAATCGTCAACTCTCCTCCGGTATGGTCACCCAGACGACAACCAAGAGCACACTGAGGCAGTGAGTGGCTATCATGATGTCATCAGTGGCAACTAAAGTTCTAATGCAGTGGGAACCAATCTCCTCCAGGATTATGACGTCAAGATTCAACTCAAAAGGAAAGAAGGTCACAATTAACATGCAGTGTTACGCGCCTACAAACAACTCGGAGCAAGAGAAGAAGGACGATTTATACAGACAACTGCAAACGGTAATGGACAACACCCCAAATGGTGACATCAAAAGCCTTATGGGTGATATGAATACAAGACACACTGGGAGCAGATAATACTCAAAGAGAACTTATCATGTGTCGAGAGGCTCTGGGAGAAATGAATGACAATGGAGAACTCTTTGCAGACATCTGCGGTTTCAATGATCTGGTGATCGCAGGCAGCGTGTACAAACACAAGCATATACACAAAGCAACATGGATTTAGCCTGACGGACATACAACAAACCAGATAGATTTCATCTCAATGCTACTCAAGGAAGTGGAGTTCTTGAAATCCTAGTCGCTACAGTTCTTCGTCCTACTTATGCAGCAACGTTACCAGAGGCAATGCATTTCTAATAAGGGCAGGTGCCCAAAATTTCTGGAAAGTTGACTGTTGACATTCACGAAAATAAGAACGCAGTATGTGTTTCTAGAGCGAATCAAATATTAGGGCCAATTAAATATCTGAAGAACGCTTAAAACTTCAATAATTACACTGCATAAACTAAATATTTGCTAGTGCATTGATACATATGAAGATCAAGAGAACAAGAGAACATAAGTTATATAAACAGTTATGCAAAATGTATGTAAACACGCATACACACAGATATGGAAGATCCATTTATGTTCACACAGTTTGTCGTTTTCTGGTATTTTGTCATTCAATTCGCCTCTTCTATTTGCCTTGTAGTGGGATTCGCACACACCTACAGTAAGACTGCATTTAAGCACGAATTTAAGCTACTTACGTACATATACCGCATCAATTTTGAAGCTACCATATGACGACACTGGCTAACTTCCTGTATGAGCAGTGTCTGTGACATAAAATGAAGACACGACCGATTATCTAACGGATTTCTACAGCCAAATCAACCTACGTTTACAGACTACCCTACAGCTAGTAATTGTGGTAATTGCCGCATTTGGAGTAGTAGCATCTGTTTTTACAGTAGAACTATGCGCATGGCAACGCCAAGTATTCGTGTGCATGAAGCATAATCCACTCCTGACAGTGCAATTTAGCGGCATTATTGAGAAAATGGCACAAATATGCTACTCATTCTAGATTAACTCAGCAGCTGACCATAAATCAAGGATAGAATACAATGGCGTGCACAGTAAAGTCATATAGGAGGATCGAATTC